GAGGCTACCTTCAACGGTTCCCTTGAGAAAAACCTGTGAAAACTGCCTGTGAAACAAAACCGTGTCCTACCTGATGCCCTGCAGCTGCAGGAAGCAATGCGCCGCCGACACCAGCCAGCTCTCCGAGACCAGCGAGGCGCCGCAGATGTGGCCCTGGCCCTTGACGTGGAGGCTCACCTGCCAGGGCCACTCTCCCACGTCCGAGTTCTGCCCGCCCACGATGCGCGACTTCCTCGTGTAGGAGCGGATCCCGCAGTCTGGGAGGCAGAAAGAAGCGCTCGGTTAATCCCCGTTTCCCTTCGCACCTCCTCTGGGCTCTCTCCTGCCCCATCACCCGTGTTAGGGACGGCCGGTGCTGTCAGCACAAAACACTAAATTTGCTGAAATATTTACCGGCTGAGCCCACAAACATGCAGACAAACACCCGCATTATCTGCGCGAGCTCTCCTGGAACAACGCAGCTCGGCTATTTTCAGATCCCACAGTAAAACCCAAGGGCTCGCTCTCTCCCACGCTTAAGCATTTCTCCCAAGAGGCCCAGAAACCCGTGTCCCCGGGTACTCACTGCAGTTGTCCTCGTCAGAATTGTCTTCGCAGTCCTGCTCCCCGTCGCACTCCGGGTTCTGTTTGCTGATGCAGCGCCCGCTGCGGCACTTGTACGTGTGCTCCTTGCAGGGCACGGTGGTGCGGACCGCTGCGGGCGGGAGGGAGGGAGAGGGGTCAGCCTCTTGGACAAACCCCCAGGATACCACCCTAAGAGGGGGGATTCCCTTCCTTACCGCTGCTGCAGCTGCCCTCGTCGCTCCCGTCCCCGCAGTCGTCCTTGCCGTCGCATTTCTGCGCGCCGGGGACGCACTTCCAAAAAAAAGCACTTGAAGCTGTCGGCGGCGCAGCCTGGGGAAAAAAGGGGGGCAAACCCTGAAGCAGCTCCCCGGCAGCCTCATGGCCTCCCTCCTGCTCTGCCGCGCGGGGCGAGTTACTCACTGCACTGCAGCTCGTCGCTGTTGTCGCCGCAGTCGTTGACGTTGTCGCACACCCAGAACTTGGGCTTGCACCAGCCGTTCTGGCACCTGAACTGCTGGCTGGTACAGGCTGCAGAGGGAGAGGGAGAAATCAGGGGAGAGACTTGCGAAAAAGCACCCGGGTGTGGGAACGAGCACGCCAGAAACCGCCGCGCCAGGCTACAGCCCGGTATTTCCACCGCTCCAGAGCACGAAACTACTTGGAGAGCTCTGATGTCCGAACCAGAGGCAACAACTCACGCAAAGCGATGGCTACAGCTGGTGGGGAAGCACCTGAGGTACCCCGACCACGGTGCTCTTCCTCAGAAAACAGCCCCTGACCTGGGAATGAGATCCCAAACGAGGGGATCTCGTCCTCTCTAATTAATTTCCAACCCAGAACGATAGCACATTATCCACCAGACAGCTCTGCTAACCCACGAGGAAAACTTGTACAAACAACACCCGTGTATCACACCGGTTTTCACTAACAAAATAGGTCCCTTTGCACCAGCCAGCTCAGCCAAACCCACAACAGCCTCGAGGATCCCATGGAAAAACACATTCCCAGCTGGGAGGGACCGGAAAGGGAGGGAGAAAGAGCCAAGAGGACGGACTTACTGCAGGATCTCTCATCGCTGCCGTCCACGCAGTCGAGCCACCCGTCGCAGCGCATGCTCCTGTCGATGCAGCGGCCGGTGTTGCAGGTGAATTTGCCGGGGCAGGCTGAGAGGGGGGGAAAAAAAGGGATAAAATGCTGCGTGAGTCTGCCAGCCGGCCCTTCCCCAACGCTCCCCACGCCTGCTTACGGCACCCAGAGGTAACAACGTCTTTTCTTCAGAACAGAACGAGAATTCAAGGAGGTTTCAAGTAAGTAGTGCTCCAAAAGCCCCAAGTTTTTAAATGCAGGAGGTGGGAGAGCCTCAGGCAAATCGGTTGTGCCCCCTCCCAGCCTCGGGGTTTCAACTCACGATCGCTGGAGTCGTAGGAGAGGTACTCGGCAGAGAAGCCGGTGTCTGTGTAGGACTGGTCCGAGTGGAACCGCACCTCTATCCTGTTGGTAGTGCTGGCCACCACAAACTGGGAGCGCTCGCCGCAGTACCTGCAGGGGCAGAGAGGGAAAGGTGGGGCAGGTCAGCACTGAGCAAACCTTCTCCCAGGCCTGAACCCACGGAACTCAAAGGGCCAAAGCCCGGCACCCACCTCGTGCTGTTGACCTGCACGTAGTCCTTGGGGCAGGAGCTCACGGGGACGCCGGGCTCCAGCACGAAGAACATGTTGAAACGCACCTTCACGTTCTTTTTAGAGGGAACCTGCAAAAACGGGAGCGGGGTGAGGGCCGCGTTGTTTTCCGGAGCACGGAAGGAGGGATTAATTAAGGAGCTCGTCTTACCTCGATGTTCCACACACAATCCATGGCCGGCGGGTAGTGTGCCGGGTAATAGGGAGTCGTGAAGGTGCCGCTCTCTCCTCTCAGAGTGCCGCCGCAGGCTAGAAGAGAAGTGAGAAGACGAAAATGGGTTAGAGATTCAAAGAAACGTGGTTTTCCCAAGCCCCAGGGAGGGAGGGAGGCAAATGCAACAGTCTCTAACAAGGTTAAGACGATCTCTGGGGAGAGCAGCTCTGCTCCAAGGCTTCGAGAGAACCCCGGAGATCAATTAGGTGCTTCCTGCACACACCAATCCGCACGTCTAAGCCACCATAACTTGTGTTTTGCCCTCCTCGGGGGATGTCATTACAGCAGCCGAGAGCACTGCGGGGCAAGGCGAGCTCCGAGATGTGACCCGCTTCCAGCTCTCCCTGGAAACAGCCCCGGCAAAGCGACCGCAGGGAGAGGTGGAGGGGAGCTGGGCCCAGGCCTCTGCTCACCTTGAGCCTTGGGGAGCTGGAAAAACTCCGCTTTAAAGCCCGGGAATCTCCCCTCCTTGTTGGTTACCAAAGTGATGAGCATGACGTTCTGGGAGGACAGGAAGGTGAGGTTGTAGGACGGGGCGTAATTCCCACAGAGCCTGGGGAGGGAAGGACAAACCCTGTCAAATTTTGCACAGAAAGCCTCGAGCGGCAACAGGTCACCTCTGAGCAGGGACCAAGGCTCGGTGCCGGGCAGGGACACTCACCTCACCAGAGCGTGGGGCTCCACGGGGCTCAGGGAGTTGTACACCTTGATGTAGTCACCGCCGTCCGTGCACTGCTCCAGCTCCAACGTCTTGAAGGTCAGGCTGATGACGGAGTCGGCGTCCGCCCTCAGCGTCCAGTAGCAGAGCGCGTTGTTGGGGTACGGGCTGTTGGGGAAGCCCGGCGTGGTGAAACTCGTCACCTCCCCTTCCTTGGCATGGAGGGCAAAGATGCAGCTGTCTGCCCAGGAGAGCGGGGGAGAGTTAACAAAGCAAGCGAGGAGGTTCTGCCCCTGCCTCCGGGGGAGCCTCCTCCATCTACAAGGGGGTGCCGGGGCCGCAGCCTGGCCGACCCTAAACCAGCTCCAGGCAGCACGGGGAGCTCTGCGGAGCGCTCCTCCTCAGGCATTTCCCCATCCCACGAGGGAAATCGCCACCCCAAAGAGGCCAAGGGTAAGAGGGAAGATCCATACTCACTGTTGCGAGCGGAGTGAGCTATGGTGGGGTCGGCAGCTGCGGGAGGAAAGAGAGCTGAGGGCATCCTTCGAGTCCCAA